CCTGCCTTAAGCTTCGGGGTCGGAGGGGCAGCACTGTGCAGTAGTGAAAATGTATGTGTATATATTTGTATAGATATGATTTAACAATGAATTGTACTGTTTGGACCAAATAGAAAAGGAATTATAAGTAAGAATGTATAATTTCAAGTTTTCGCGTCGATTTCAACATTCCTTGAGAATGAAATACGAGGTGCTTCGATGGTGAACGATACCCTTTGTTCTAACAGCACTATAACTGAACTGAGGAATAAGCAGTCAACTTTCATAATAGTGAAATGCACTTTTCTCATAGGTTTCTTTAAGCTTTTCTTTGATCTTTATGTATCGATTTAGAATTAGAATTTAGAATTTGGTGCTGGGAAGTGCGCTGTACAGGAAACCATGACAGAAATGTAAGATTTTAAACAGCACTTCTACTTTGAATATAATTTCTCGTATTAAGTCATGGTTAAGATCTAATATGCAAACAGCCTAAGGAACGTAATGTTTGCTAATTTGCATAGAAAACCCACCGACAACATTAATACAGAGAAAATTGCTAAGTTGCATTAAAATGTTAGACCTTTTGTTTTCGTGATATCAATAACCATTGTTTTCTTCAGTTTTTTTTTATCATTTTTGATTCATAACTTATTATAATCATTGAAAATGTGTCCTTTTTTTGAGAACCTGCCCAATGCGTCTCAATATGCAATTAATATTGTCAACATGATGATAAAAGCAATATAAATATCAAGGATAACAGGTTTAATCCAGATCAAAGTTCCATCGTGATTTGATGACAAAGTTAGCGTGGTATTTAACAGTAATAAGCTAATAAAAAATTATACTTGTCATGTCAAGTGTCCATTAATTATTATCGTTGATGACATTTATAAGTTTAAAATAATCTACCCAATATCACGCGGTTCTTCTTGGGCGCTTTTTTTTTATAAGCCAGTTGATATACTAGAAATATATGCTTTAGACATATTAATTTTTTTTTAGACACTAAAAGCATATGTTTTAGACACACTAAATTCCATATTTGACACACTAAAATATATGTTTTAGACATATTAAATTCCATATTTGACACACTAAAATATATGTTTTATACACATTAGAATATATATTTTTTACACACTAAAATATATGTTTTAGACACATTAAAATATATCTTTTTGACACACAAAAAATATATGTTTTAGACACATTAAAATATATCTTTTTGACACACTAGAAATATAAATTTTAGACACTTTAAATATATCTAATTGACACACCAAAAATATATGTTTTAGGCACTAAAAATAAAGACCAACAAGTAAAGTTCAACATCAACGTCAAGGAGTTAGAATAAGTCAAAAAGTAAAAACATCTGGGAAGTAAATAACAGAAAATGGCAAGTGCGAAGAGGAAATTCGATCAAGAATAGGACTGGCAAGGGACGTGTTCTACCAGCATAAAGAATTGATAAACCGCCACATCACCCTCTAAGACTAATGATTAAAATTCTGAATCTGTATACATATCACAAGCTGCAACGTATAAGTCAGAGTGTTGGACAATGAATCAAGAACAGAGAAGAATAACAGCGTTGGTAAATGTGGTGTCTATGAAGAATGTTGAGGATAAGCTAGAAGGACAAAGTTAAGAACATTGATATTCTTGAGAAGACGAACATCAAGGATAGCTGGCTGAATCAAATTGCAAAGGAGGAAAGTGAAGTTTGTGGGACACGTTCTTAGGGGCTCGGCTGGGGATATGGAGTTGCTGGTGTTGGAAGG